TGAAAATATATTTATTAGAAAATTAATTTTCTAGATCATATTTTTCTATAATCTATTTAAATTTGTTTTTATTTATATTTCTTATTTTTTATATTCAATCAAATTTAAATTTCTTTAATCAATTTGTTTCATATCTATAAGAATATTATTTTTATATAATTCGATTATTCTTCAATTTTATTGAATATTTAGTATATTTCTATATAAATCATAAGAAGAAAATCAAAATTCTTCGTCAAATCAAAGAATTAAATTTCTAATTATCAATTTGAGCCTTTTTATTTATAATTCAATTCTAAATTAAAGATCAATTTTTTTGATATGAATTTTAATTTCATGAGATTTAATTTTTCCTTTGACCTTTCATGTTAGATCTATTCTGATATTAGATCTATATTGATATAATTTCAAGAATTTATGAATAATTTTTCTGAGAAAATCAATCATTTGTTCTAATATCATTGTATCCTATCTTGATTCAAACCCTAAATCCCAATAATTTTCATTGTTGCGCCGCCAGTTTTGCCTTTTGTAGGCCTCTGAGAACTCTTTCACCGGCTGGCTTTTGGAGAAGATCACGTCTGCTGCAAATCTTCCTAGGGTGCGGGATTTAGGGTTTAGGGGTTTAGGGTTTAGGGTTTAGGGCTCTGGCGCAAAAACACTCACTAAATCCGATTAGGGTCTAGGGCGTTTCGGGTGGGTAGAGAGTTTTCTGTTGGAGATTGGGCTGAGGACGATAGCAGGCTCAAGAAGTAGACTTAAATTTTAAGGTCCACTTTTTTTAGGGAGCGGGGGGGAGTCCTTACAAGGAGATCTCAAATTGCCAACTAGCTCGTCATACTTGCGTCTGAACGCTTCGACAACCTCCCGTATGCAAGACAAAAGCCCTCCCAACAGCTGCCAAGACGTGCGAGTTTGGTCCATCGTCTTCGTACCCAGCCCTTTGAACAGCATGCACATCGGAATGTGGTAGGACCTGCTTTTGGCATATCTCAGGCACTCGGCTTTGAGGAAGGCTGCGACAAGCGGGCCCAAATCGAAGGCGAGATTGGCGTCACGGCACGCATGGCGGGCATGCTCGTCGGCAACGCTGTCAGCGTCCCACTCTGACTCATCTGCCACGGCAGCTGCAGGAGACGGACCGGAAGGGCCAGGAGCATGACGGGGTGCGGATGCCGACAGCCACGGCTTAGGATTTTGCGGTTTAGGGGTTTAGGGGAAAGGGGTTTAGGGGTTTAGGGCTTATGGGTTTAGGGGTTCAGGGTTGCGTCACGAGCCCTTTTTCGCACATGAATGTAGCCTGCAAGGGATCTTCCGACTCACTTCTTGACAAGCACTGCCGCTTTGCGAGTCGAGGTGACTATTGAGAAATTAGAAAGTCATTAATGTCGGGGCCTTAAAACTTAGAACAGGGTTCTGGGGCCCATCATACTAGAATTATAATGAGGAGCCCCACAATAGTATAGGCAATTGTTTAGGCCCCTATACTGCCCATATCAAAGGCCAGACACCGTTGAAAACATCGACCATCGGCTACAAGAAAAAGAGTTGGAGCCGTATCACGGGCGAAACCTACAAACACCAAAACGGCAGTTAATTTGCCCGAACCTTGCGAATTTCAGGTCTAGCTGGAACTACTCTCAAACAAAATCGCCAGACACACCCAACTCTAAACCTGATCCGGGTTTAGGGTTGGGAGTGCGACACTCCCATCCCTGAACCATAAACTTTCTAAACTCCAACCGCAAAAGCACACACAAACTGACACATGATGGCAACAACTTTAAGAACAGTGGCCATGTCATGATAGTTCCAACTTTCATCTGCTACGTCGACGGCTGCTACCGATGATTTCGCTAGTGATTTGCCTGTGTTTGCTGGCTTCGGGTTCCGGCTGTAACCAGTTTTGGACATATCAAGGAGCAGGATTTTGAACCTCAACAAACCCTGAACACAATCCTAAACCCTGCACCCACAAGAATGACCTCAAAATCAAACCCGTAAACCCCAGGGTTTAGGGTTAAGGGCGTTACACCGTTTGGGGCTCGTCGGATGCTCGACTTGTGAGCGCTTTCATCCAAGGAGCTTAGCTTCTTCGTAGAGCGACACGGCGTCGCCTGTCTGATTCGAATCATTCAGGTGCATGTGTAACGAGAGGTCTAACGCGAATAGTCTACAACAAACTGAGGCTTCGACATACCTTCAATCGGTGTATTCATTTCTCGTGTTGCCACCATCTGGTGCAATAAGTGTGGTAGCAGAAAGTGTACTTGTAGCAGTGGCAGGTTTCACGGCATGGCACAGATTCCCGCTGAGACGCGCTAATGACAGCAACTGTTTTGGGTTTTAAGAAATTGTGGTAACGTTCGAGGAAACATACATGTAATTTATGCATGCATGTATGTGTGCATGTATGTATGCAGGTATGTATGTATGTGTGTAAGCACGGATGTATGTATGCATGCCTCTATGCATGTATGTATGTATGCATGTACGTATGTATGCAACCACGCATGCATGTGTGCATGTGCGTGTGTCTGTTTGTATGTACGTGCATGTAGAGAAGCAGAGATGACATTTTGGCTCATACGCCGGCTTTGCTGGAGGTCAGCCTTCCCCAAAAGACGAACTACACTGGAGGCTAGCAGTAGGGTTTTCGGGTTTTCGGTATTAAGGGGTTTAAGGCGAGCCTTCATCCGCAAATTACCTGCTAGAAGGACTAGAGCTGTGATAATTGGGATTGACAGATTGGTGCCTATCTTCTGTCAGGGCTTTAGCACATCCTTTCGGCCATTAAGGGGCCGCGCCCGGGCCCCAGCGCCTTACGTGCCATCTGTTTTGGAATTGATCTTGCACACCAAATGGACACATGTTTTTCCGGCATGCATCAATTAGGGCATTGGCTCTGCTCGATAGGCATCTGTGAAGCAGCAGCTGGAATGTAAGCAAGCATGCTTGCATGTATGTACATACATACATATACATCTGCATATGCACATGTTTGTTTCTGTGTAAGTGTATGTGTGCATGTATGTATGCATGTATATATTGCTTAGCCCGCCGTATGCTTAAAACCTTGGGTATATGGAGGTTTTAAGTAGGGGTAAACACAGGTGCAAGCCAAGGTGCTGGATTTTAGGGTGCGTGAAATGATGGTTGATGGGCTGTGGATGGAAAGAGTATAAGCCGAGTGAAGCTTATAGGAGGAGGTTGGTTGAGTATATAGCCGCTGGAAGCCTTTGGCAGACTTCGTACGAGCTTCTGCTGACTGCACAGCGTGCTCACACATTACTTTTTCTTCTCTGATCGATGATCTCATTCGCTATCGCTTGCGTCAGATGCCATTTCATCGATGCCCTCGTTCCGTGGCAACGGCACAGGAAGCTCGGTCACAGCTACACGAAACTGATGCCGAAGTCCGGTGACCATCATTGCCTTAGATGAAGAATGACAGGCCAGTGCCAGAGCCACTTCTGGGGGATGAATAAAACATCCTGGGATATGCAATCAAACTGCCGCACACATGACGCTGCCCACGACCGGCGGCGACATCGCGTTGCCTGCACGAGGTCAACTTAATTTACTTCAGACCTACATGTTATATAATAGGTCATAGGTCGGCATGTCCGATGCCTGCGAGCAAGCGGTAAACGTTCCGCTTGAAACCCATTCCGCCCCTTCCAAAATGCAGCTTGTTGACGTTGAAGCCATGTCTAGGCTATCGGCAAGAACGGAGGCACAGCACTTCTGAAATCTTCGACATGAAATTCTCGAATGAAGCCGACAACAGTAGACTATGAACGAGGTCCCCACAAAGCCATGAGCTCCGGAGGCGTCAACAGGGTATGGCGCCGGAAATCGTAGAGTTTGGAGTTCGTCGTGAGTCTAGGCATAACGACAGGACTGAACTTCTTGAGACAATCCGTGCAATGTAACTCAGTCTGACTTCGACCATGTCTCGGAGGACTGTCGACCGCAACAGGAAAGCTAAGGCGCGTGGGTGCCATACCGTCTGTCCGTATCGCACGTCCCAGAGATTTTGAGATATCAGTGATCAGCATTCGCCTTTGGTCCTTAGATGATCAGGACCGAAGGTTGCACAAATGCCCTGCCCAGAATGATCCGAATTGCAGAATCCGAAATCAGAAATATCAATGATATGATCTGATGATATGATGTGATGATATGATATGATTGATATGATGACATGATAATTAATGATATGATATGATATGATATGAATCGAATGATATGCTTCCACCCAAGGCTCAGAATACTCATGCCACAGAAGATCTATCTGCTCCATTTCGCGTGGGCTCAGGTATTTCATCCAACGATGCCCTTGCTCACGCACGCAGCTCAAGGAATACCTGCAACATTCGTACCCACACTTCTCACACACGCACACATGAAACCAGCTTGCCCTACTTTTACCCATACTGACAACGCTCGCCATTCCATGTAGCGGGGTGAGGCACTGCCGATATGTCTCCTTGTCTTTGGCGTCCAAAGACAAATCTCGTTTCTTCTGATCGAAAGCATCGCGCAAGTTGGATTGCACAGTCGGGACCCAGTCGGGTACCTTAGGTCGGATCAAACATCGCCGGCACACTCCAAGCGCAGGCATCTGTGGTATCATATGCTAAGTTAATATTTTCCGCAGTGGCATTGGCAAACAAGATGTTGACCTTTTTCTGCTCGTCTGAGCTGGTGCACTTTCAACTCCAGGTCTGTACAATGAGTCGTGGCCAGCCAGGGACGTGCTCTGCCCGTCATAGATTGATAGAATGTAGACCTAGAGCCCAGAGCCTAGAGCACAAACAAATTATATAACTTAACTTAACGGCTAAACGACTACTACAGCTACAGCGGAGAGCCCAGTACTAGAGTAGAGCAGTGGAGTAGAGTTTATAGAATCAAGCTACCCATTTGGACAGAGATCGTTTCCTGACCGTCGTACAAGGGTGATCCGAACTGACACTCTGTCATCCCGTTTCATTGCACCATGACGATACACGGACTTGAAATATTTACGGCTAGAGTCTCGAGTCTAGAGAATCGAGTGAATCAGGATTTTGACTCAAGTCCAGAACAAACTATCAACCCAACTCAACTATCCTATCAGTCCTAAAAACCGCTGCTACTGCTGATTGACTGATCGGGATCAGAGCGTGCAATGCACGTGCTGTGCAGCCTACTTCTTGCTGGCGCCAGCCCCAGCTGTCTTGTTGGCAGTGGAATCGAGCTTGCTTTTGAGATCCTTGCATTGCAACAGTGCAACACATCCACGACATATCGCAGACCCTGTGCCCCCTGCAAACCTCACCCCAGTCCTTCTGGAGCTGTTGCAGCTTGCGCACCACCTCTTGATCCACATCCCTCTGCTTGACACCCGCCACGTCGAAAGAATGCTTGAAAAATTCTGAGAGGTCGCTCAAGCTTTCCTTGATCTCACTCGCGGATGTTGGGATGTCACGAAAGTAGGCATCAGCGGCCATGCAATTCCACAGTAGCTTTCCGAATGAATTCGGGAGCGGTAGCTCCTTCATGCAGGCTTCAAGGGTGGTCAGGGGCACGGAGAGGCTGGGGTTCTTGATCAGGTCGGTCTTCCAGTTCAACACGCACCAGCCCATAGCTTCCAAGTCGCGCAGCTTGGAAAGTGCTGTAGGGCAAGCTCAAGATTGCAAAACCAATTAGTTTTATCATTATCTGAATCCAAATCCAAATCTTAAATCTAAAAAATTAAATAGTAGCCTAGGCTGCCTTGACCTGAATCCTATGCCTCTGCCTGTACCTCTTCCTAAGCCGCCTAAACCGCAGGACTCGGAACTAAGAAGTCCGGCTCATTCATACTGTCATTTTGTATGATATCAGTAGTCATACGAATAAGAACCGAACCGAATCGAACCTTACTCGCATATTTTCACCCACACGCCTTTAGAGCACTCCAACGTCAGGGTCTCCTCGTTCAGCTTCTGGCACAGGGTCTGCGCGACTGTCTTGTCTTCATCCTTCAGCGCTTGCTGCAAAGGCTCCAACCTAGGGATTGCAGCAGCCAAGGTCTTAGTCTTTAGCTCGCTGATCGCCTGGGCAGTGTCCATCATGGTTGTGCCCAGCTTCGCGACCAGGCTTGCCGTCACCTGCCGCAGCTTCTGTAGATCAAAGGATTCGCCGCCCTCGGAGATGGCCGCGTGAACCTCAATGAAATTCACGACGCAGCTGCTCAGCAGCGCCTTGTCATGGTACTTGTCGAGCGCGAAGAGATCCGGCTGCTGGTCCGTCGGCTTCGTGGCATCCTCCACAACCTGCGCTAGGCGCAGAAGCCGTTCTGCCGGAGCACCAACGTTTGCACGAACACTGGCGTCAAGAGCCAGCAGCCCCGAAGTCTGGCCCTTCTGCATCAGCGACTTACACCAAAGCAATGGACGGTCCTGAAGCTTGGAAGCGATGTTCAACGTCGCCACTGTAACATCCTTCATCTTGTCTGGCAGCACCAGCCCACCTGGATTCACGCGAAGTGAAACGACACTGGCCAGCGACAATGGCCCTATCTACAAGTCAACAAGAGCCCAAACCTGAATCTGAATTATGATATTTATGATAAATCAAAATGATAACTCATACCAAAGAGCTGAAGCTGCATTCCTCCACATACTCCTTTGCTGCCTTCGCGGCCTTGCTTAATGTCTGTAGCTTGTGGATGACTTGCGCCGCCGTGGAGAACGTTTGCGGTGTCAAGTCTGCCTCCGCACGGATGGTCCTGATCCGGACAGTAGCCCCGTCTGCAATAGCAAAGGCCACGGTGTCAACACCGGTGTCGGTCATCCCTGACCAGCCATCCACCTGTGCCGAAACAACATACTCGACAGAAACGGCAGGTACTAAGGCTGATGAAATTATATTCTATTCTATTAATTCAAGTTGTTGGGAAACCTCACCTCGAACATTTTTGCAAGCTTGCAGAAGTTCTTGAAATGGGATGGCTCAGACAAGTGCTCGAGCAATGCCTTCTTCTTGTCAGCTGATTCATGCGTGAGGTCCACATCATCCTTCATCACTGCAAGAATTTCCCTCATCACGCCTGGCGTCCTTGCCTTCACAATCTCAGCCATCTCGACCATGTAGTCGGTCAGCTGCTTGGCATCCGCGCCGCTGGTCTCGAGGCTGTTGGACACAGGCCCAAGTTGCAAATGGCAGACTTTGGCAGCCAGCACGGCATCTGCACAAGTGGTCGTACTGATGCGATTCATGTAGAAGAAGTCGTCCGCCTTCTCCTTCATCTCCTCCACAATGGTATAAGGATACCGCTGGACGACTCTTTTGCACTCCTCGCCCACAGAGGCTGCCGTGATGCACTGGGATGCGGCAAACTCGAGTTTCGCCATGCGCTGCCTCAGAGCCAGCCAGTAATAGATGAACTTTAACCTTAAATGATACTGATAACTATTGCCTCATGCAATCAAAAAGTTGAACTAACACTAGAACACTAGAACATCGAAAAATATATTAAGTTCTGTTCAGTTAATCGAATACAAGATTGAGCCGGGATATCTTGGCAGATCAACCGAGATGCTTGCCAGCCCCGACTCGTAGGAGTGTCTTTGTTGCATCCGTGAGCAAGCTCTTCCTCTCCACGATGGCACGGGCGATCATGTTCTCCAGAGCGGTTCCACCAGCCTGATCCGAGCTGGTTAGAACTCCACATCATGCTCTAGACGCTTTATGTATCATGCCAAACCCACTTATAATTTATAAT